ACTTGCTTCTCACCAAAGTGACTTCTGAAGCTGGGTCAGAAAAGGCCAAAGGGTTTCCACCTGCTACCCACACATTCCCCCAGACGTTTGCTTTTGGGGCTCTGAGTCACGGTGTCAGAATCCAGTACCCGGGCGGCAGCCATGCTGTGGGGAAGCCCAGGCCACAGGAGGAGGCTGCGTGTGGGCGATCCAGCATCAACGGCCAGATTTGCAAATGAGGATCCCTCCCACCCCCAGGATTCCAGCCCCCAGCCAGCCTGGAGTAGAGAATTACCCAGCTACGCGGGTCTGCATTCCCACCCCACAGAATGTACGGCCCTAGTCCTACATTATGAACAAAATTAAGTAGTTGTTTTAAGCCATTAAGTTACGGAGTAATTGGTTATGCAGCCATGGTAACCCAAATGATCTTTATTGACAAAATCATTTGGTTCTTCCCACTAAAATGTAGGCTTCTTGAGAGCAGTTGGTCCTTCCTGTGTCCACTGTGCCCTGCATACAGTAGGCGCTCAATAATCACTAGGTAAATAAGTGAAAGCAGCTGAACTTGGAAAACAGTAATACCTGTCTCGTCTAGTTTCTGACCAACTCAGGTATTCACTGCGTAGCGTGCACCTACTATGTGACGAGCAAGTTGGCAGGGGCTAAGGACTCTGTGGGGCAGTCCTATCATCCCCTGTGATGATGACCAGGGGTAAACAGAAGACCCCCAATCCACTCCTCCCTACCCCCACTGCAGATCCGAAAAGCTGACTATTCAAAAACCAGAGGTGCAGCTGCCAGACCCACCCAGCCCACATCTGGGGGTGTATTTAATTATTCCTGGATGTGGTGGTTTTTACATCCTCGGCTCAGTCGCTAGTGCCCTGGCCTCTCACCAGGCGAGCGAGTGACTCCAGACAGGGACCATGTGGCAGGAAGGCTGCACATCTGGCCCCTCCCCGGGGGTTCCTCCCCAACAGCTGTCTCCATCCGCTCTGCTCTCTCCCTCCCCTCGCCCAGGCTTTCAAGCTCTTGCTGGCAGGGGTGCAGCGGGCTGGAAGGGAGGCCTGAGGGATGCGCCTCCAGGTTTAACCACTTAATCCCCAAAGTACCTGCCAAGAACCAGTTAGCAAGCCTGGCTGGCCAGGCCTTCATTAACTCATCACAGCAGGCTCCTGCTGGCCCATTATCTTCCCTGTCCCTGACCCCCATCACCTCTTGGCCCTGCAAAGCTCACCTTTCTCCCCTTCTCCTCAGTCCCAAGGCAAGACTCTGTTCACCCCTGGCCCCCTCTCCCAGGCAGATTCTTGACTCCATTCTGTCCCTCCCCACCCCCTCCCAAGGCACACTTCTCCCTCCCTCCCACGCCTCAGCCAGCCAGCACTCACCATAAAGCATCTTTTGTTCCCTCTCTCCTGTATCTTAGAGCAGTGACTGGTTAAATCACACCCATCCTCCTCCTGGCCTCCCCAAGCTCCCAGGAGCCTCCCCCAGGCTCTCTCAGCAAGGGAATCTCTCCAGTACAGGAATCCAAGGCTCACCACCCCCTCTGCTTGCTACCCAGTCACTTCCCATCCCCTGCATGCTGCCCCCCATATCATGTGGGGGTGGGGGAACATACACTGCGGGCCCTCAAAGACAGAAACTCCAGGTCCATTTCTGACTTTGCCTCTCACCCTTTGGAATGACTCAGGTGGACTCTTTCTGCCTCAGTTTCCCCTTAGAAACAATCAGAATGGCATTAGCCATTTCATAGCATCCTTTGTTGGGTGAGCTCAGTCCCAGGCACTGCTCTGGGCACTTTAAGTGGATGCTGTCCCATCCCCCTCCCAACAACTCTGGGGCTCCAATGTACAGATGAAGGCTCAGAGAGGTTACGGTTCTTATCCAAGGTCACACTGCCAGCAAGTTCCTGGGCTGGGACTTCAATCCTGCTCCCTCTGATTCCCAAACCCATGCTTTTAACCACTGTACTATCCTGGCTTATCTGCCCCTAATGCCCGAAAGGACAGGTAGGAATGCTGTAGACTTGGCGGCAATGACTATGGCAAAATGTTGCCTGCTCTGGGGAAGAAAAATGTTAACTGCGCATTCATAACCATCCATGATAGCTCACCTTTATAGCCCCTTCTCATGCTCCAGACACTGTTCTAGACCTTTCTGTGTATGAATTCATTTTCCCCTCTTGACAACATGTATACATGAGAACTATAATTGTCCCCATTTTACATATGGGAAAACTGAGTGGGGGGGTTATAATGACTTCTGAGAAAAGTATCGCTTGCTCACAGCAGGGGCTCAAAACGAGACTGTTGAAACTGTTGTCCTGCACACAGCTCGGCTCACCCTTAAAGCCTAAGAGGAGGCTTGTATGCCTTCTGTGGCTGACTCGGGCTCCTCTGAAACCCCCGAAGTATCCTCTGAGCATTCCCGATTCTCCTGCAGGGCAGGAAAAGTGGAGAGGACCACACCCAGAACCCAACCAACAGTCTGTCTCCTGTGGACTTCCTTCCACTTCTGCCTAACTTACCAGAGGCCGGAGAAAGATGGGTTCCCCCAATGAAGCCAAAAGCGCGCGCGCGCGCGCACGCACACACACACACACACACACACACACACACACCAGGAACACTGGGGAGGGGAGAGAACTGGAGTCCCTGGGAGCGAGGCCAAGGCTGAGAGCTGGAGCATGGCGACCCCGGGACAGAGCGCAGTAAGGGGGTGGTGCGCAAGCCTACCAGAGCCCCGAGGGAGTGAGGGGCGGCGCTGGATGAAAGGGGCATCCTGGGGTCAGGGCACCCCAGGCGGGAGAGCCCTGGAGGATGCGGCTGCTGGGGACGCCCAGGCAGGACGCAGCAGGCGGGAGGAGAACCCAGGGGTGTGGTGAGGGGGTGGCCAGGAGTCAGGACGCGGCACGGAAGTCTAGGGCAGAAGCAGGATGAGGAAGGAGAAATAAACTACAGCGGCAGTTATCTGCCGGCGCTGCAACAGCGAAACTCCTTTCCACTCCCCTCACCTGCTGCACCGGCCTTCCCCCGGGCCCCAGCCCCCTCCCCGCCTGCAGCCTCCTCCGTAGGGCCCCCAGGGCCCCCAGCCTCGGGGAGCACACCCTGTGAGGCTCCGGCCCCGGGTTCTTCGCCCCCCGCCCCGCCCCCGGCAGGACGCCCAGCGTCCCGCACCGCCTTGTCCCGGGAAGGGAGCGCCTTCCCAGACCTCACCTGGACCCCAAGACAGGAGGAACCCTCCTCCCCATTTCTAACGGGTTACCCTCGCTTCCTGCCTTCCTCCTAACCCACTTTCCCACTTGTTCTTCGGGCAGGTTTTTTCCTCCAGCTCCGTCGACCTTCATTTCTTTCCCCGCCTCGATGCCCGTTTCTCTTCCCCTCTCGCCCCACCTTCTTTCTGCCTTTAAAGTCCCAAATTCCACGCTTTGGGCTTCGGGTCTCTCGACGCCCCCCCCCCCGCCCCCACCTTTTTTTTCCTCCCTGCTCCCAGTCCAGAATGTTGTTCCCCGCCCCTGGGATTTGGCAGCTGTAGCCTGGCCGCTGCTGGCCGATGGAGGGCTGGCCCTCCCCGGGTGGAGGGGCGGAGGGTACAGCCGATGGGACTTCCAGGAGTCGAGCAGGGAGGCCCCGAAACGCGCACCTCTCTTCGCCAGAGCCCGGGCTGCGCCGGCCCACGCGACATCTGTCGCCCTCGCTCCCGACTCACACCCCGCGCACCCCCGCAGCTCCCCGGGTGCTGCCACCCCCTACGCTCCGGCTGCCGCCTCTCCCCGAGGGCGCAGACGCTTGGGCCTCGCCTGCGGGCACCACGCCAGCCGGACTAGACCGGGACCTGAGCGAGCGGCATCCGTGAGTCCTGGCATCCCGGTATCGCTGGTTTTCTCACCTCCGACCTTCACTTTGGACCCACCTATGGTGGGTTCAGCCTGATTCGCCCCACCCCGTTCTCTGCAGCTCTCCTCTCTATCCCATGATCCGAAAAGGTGTTCCTCACACTTGTTCCCTCAAAGAGCCTAACGCGGTGCCAGTGGCACAGCTCATACTCAATAAATCCCCAATCCCAAGGGCCTAGGGCACAGTAGGTGATCAGAACCTCTCTCCCACGGGTGCCAAACACATTAGGCGCTCAATATTCACTCCCCTCACTAGGCACACCACTCGCTCCCACCCCCTCCACCGCGCAGTGCCTAGCATTTCTGCAAGCTCTCAAACAAGTCCTTCCTAAACTGTGCCTAGCACCTAGAAGGAGCTCGACAAATGCTCTTTCACCCATGGAGTTTTCCTAAAAGCCTCAAATCCCAAGACCACTTCGGGGACATCTCCTTCACCAGCTCAGCTCCAGTCGTGTGGTGGAGGGTGGGCCACGCTCCTTTAAACAGGGCACCTCGCTGGAGAAGAAGCGGAGAAGTTGCTAGAGCGAAAGAAAATTGCAAAGTGCGCGGGCCTTAGGGGGGAAAGGCAGCCAGCCAGAAATCTGGAGGGGGAGGAAGAAGTGAGATGCGCTCCGGGAGTGGAAGAATGGGGAACAGAAACTGGGGAAGTGACACTTAGTGAGAAACGCGTTTGGAGTGGAGGTGATGGAGACGGTGGCGACTTAGGACCGCCAGGCGGCTTGGAAGAGGATGGGAGACTTGTCTGGAAACAGCGATAGATTATAATTATCTGGAGTGGCTTGTAACTACGTTGTCAGAGCTAGCACACTTTTTACTTGTATTGTGTGTTTATTTGAGGGGCTGCTGGGGATTGTGGAGGCTGAAGTCCTCCCAAAGCCCGCTGGAAGGAGTGGCAAGATGTGCCTAAGGAGAGAAGGGGACAGAATCAGTGGGCCTGACACTTGAAAGGAGAGATGGGGACTGGATGGAAGGGACACGGAGATCCTTGTGAGAGAAGAAAGCAGAGGAAGAAGGAGATGGGAAGGGAGGAAAGCCAAACTTGTTCTCCAGCTCCCAGGCCAGCCCAGCGTCTCCAGTCCCCAGCTGCCGCGCCCTGGCGCTCGTTGGCTGGCTCGCGTACCTGTTGCTTGCTCCGGCTGGGTCTCGGCTCCGGCCCCACCAAGAAGCCCCGCGTTCCTACAAGTTCCGCCTGCCGAGGAGCCAGGCCGCCAGCGCCGCCACCTGCGCGGCCGCGCACAGCCAGGGCCAGTAGGTGGGGAGCGCGCCGGGCGCCGGCGCCCTCCGGCTCCGCGCGCGGCGCCGCCACATGGTGCGCTGGTGCAGCTCGTCGCCGAGCGCCTTGAGCCGGGCGGCGGTGAGCTGCGCCGCGGACGAGCGCAGACCCAGGCGGCCCGCGCTGCAGGCGCACACGGCCGGGGGACCGCGGCCGCGGTGCAGGGGGCACGGGCACATGACCGCTCGCCTCGCTCCCTCCCCGCGCTCGGGCCGCCCCTCGCCTCCTCTCCCTCCGGCCTCTGCGCCTGCCTCCGCCGCGCTCCAGCCGCCGGGGGCCTCCCCTGGACACCAAGTTTCTCCCGGTGTTGTGCGTTTGTTGTGCTGACGGCGCTATTATTAATTAAAGTGTCACATGGTGGAGGGGGGCGGGGAGGGCTGAGGAGGGGGGTTACATCATCCGGCCCCGGGAGGGAGGGGGGCTGCAGGCAGAAGAAACCGAGAGGTAACTTTTAACCCTAGCAGCGCCGGCAGCGAGGGGGGTGTTCTGTTTGGGAGCCCAGGAGCGTGGCGCCGCGTCAGGGCTCCGGGACGAGGAGGTCTCAAGCTTAGGGGGTCGCGGGGGACCCCCGCGGAGGCGTGGAGGGCCAGGAAAGGCTTTCTCCATTATTTTTCTGAATCCAGCTCCAGTTCCGATTTGGCCAGGAAAGCAGGCTTGTTTGCGGTTTTGGATGAAGCTGATACCGAATTCAGTAGTACCATTCAAAAATATTCCGAGGCTATTGTTTTGTCTGGGGGAGGTAGGTTGGTTCAAAATCTTATGAGAGGGCCAGATACAACCCAACTTGCCTACTTGCCGGTCTGACTAGGCACCTGTAGGCTCCGGATTTGAACACACCCGACACACCTCCCCACCCTCCTCTGAGCTGCGCGGCGGGAGCCACAGCGCCCTCTGCGCAGCGGGGAAGCTTCGGAGACAGGGTGGGGGTTAGAGGGGCGGGTCATTAGCCTCCGAGCGGCGCGCGGGCTGGCTCTGTCCGCGCACCTCGCTCGCACCCGAAAAGACCTTCACCCGAGGCTTTCTAGAAGGAAACTTATTTTTGTCTGAGTCTTTTGTGAATATTATTTTACTGCTAGAGTTACAGTTTCTAGCAGCGATCCCTATTTAATGGCATCAGAGATCCTATGGAAGGGGGCCGGCGGGGGCGGGGGTTGTCCGTGGGGACTTGAGCCCTCTCTTTCCAAATCGACGGCGACCTGGGACCCGCCCAGGGCGCTGTGGTTCTCTGCTTTCCTCGGGCGGCGTTGCCAAGGCCTGATGAGTCCTTTGGTCACTTGGAAAAGATTCTTCAAGACAGTGAACTTAATTTGGGTCTGGGTTTATAATGAGGAGAGACTTGCCTTTGGCGTGCACCTCGGTCAGGGCTCGGATCCCAGCCCCGGGGTGGGATCCTGGCGGTCCTCACAGTCACCCAGGCCCATTCTGCACCCTTCTTCATCCCGGTCAGCACGCACTGAACGCCTTCCAGGAGGTTACTGGGCTAAGGTCTCTGCCTCGCTGCTTAAAGTCCATCTCCCAACAAGTAGGAGGGGGGAGGAGGGCTATTAGTATCCTGTTTTACAGACGAGGAAACTGAGGCACAGGGAGGCAAGGCCTCCCGCTCAAACTCACGGTTTTACTGTGAGTGTGGAATGAATTTCAGAGCAATGAAACTGGAGCTAAAACAGCGCTGTGTGCAGGGGCTCTGAACTCTTAACCACGGTTTTATACTGCCCCCTGTAATCTGGGAATAATAATACCTCCTTCTCAGGACCGAGGCAGAGATTAAATGAGAGAAACGTGTGCCAAGCACCTGGCACGCTTTGGGCCCTGGATAAACCTTGCTTCCCTTTGCTTCTGGCCAGAACCGCTTCCCCCTTCTCCTGGGACTCACCTCCTTAATCCCCCCTGGTCTTTGCAGAGGGGACCTGATCCGCTGCCCGGCACAGCGTTCCAAGAATGAAGATACAGTGTCTATTTGAAAAGCCCTTTGGATTTAAATTGAACAATTCCCTCCTCCCCCCCTTTTTAATCTGCACGCTTTTAACGGCTCACTTCATGGACATTAATTTTAATGGGACGATTATTACCCTGTTTGGAAGGCTGCCCCTCAAAATGCTGGGCTCACAAGGTGGCGCTGGGTCGGGTCCCAGCCACTTGGATGTTTTCTGGAGCAAAGAGAGTGTAGCTTTGGCCATGGGAGGGGGTGTGGTTTAGCAGAGGGAGAATGGAGGGGTGATGGAAAAGTGGGGGAAAGGAAAGACCCCCCTCCCCATCACCACCACACACACCGCATCTGACAGTCCCTAATTTGCTCCCACCATTGGAGTTGCTCTGGCCTAGCCCACCGTGCACTCTGGGGGTGGGGGGGAGACTCTGCCTCCATTTCCTCAGCTGGAAAGTGGGAATAGTAATAGTACTTACCTCACAGAATTAAATAAGATCATACTGGTACAGCCCTTAGCGTGGGGTCCAACTCATCATTAACATTTAATAAATGTTGGCTACTGTTAATATTTAGTCACTGAATAGGGCGCTTTGAAGAATGTTGGCAGCCCACACGGTCAAATACATACAACTCCCCTGTCATGAAATAACAATCCTGCCACTGACATTACGCACTGTCCAGAAAAAGCAAATTCATCGGGGGAGTAACAACATAACACTCTCCTAAAACTTTAGGGAGAAGAATGAATGTTTTATTTTAATGCTTAATTTAATAAACTCATAGTACTGGGCACTGTTCTACGTGCCTTAGACGTAGTGACTCACTTCCCTCCGTCCCCCAACAGCCTGGTGTCCCAGGACAGGTAGTATTCTTAGACCTAGGTCATGGACGGAGGCAGAGCATTTAAACGATGTGTCCAAGGCCGTTCAGCTGTCTGGCCCCGAGTTTGTGCTCCTTTAGTATTATGTCACCAATGGAGACTTGGGCAGAGAGAGGGGGCCTGTGATGGGCAGACCTGTGCGCCCCTCCCCCATGCTTCTGTGGCACTCCTCAGTGCCTCAGAATGCGGCGGTATTTGGAGACAAGGTCTTAAAAAGAGCTAATTAAGTTAAAAGGAGGTCATTAGAGTGAGGCCCTAAATCGATAAATAGGACTAGTGTCCTTAGAAGAAGAGGCAGAGATACCAGGGGCACCAGAAGGGGGTCCTCTGCCAGCCAAGGAGAGTGGCCTCTGCAGAAACCAGTCTGGCCAACTCCTCACTCGCTCCATTGTGGGAAAATAATTTTCTGTCCTGTAAGCTGCTCAGTCTGTGGTACTGTGGCATTTCATTGCAGCGACCTTAGCACATGAATAGAGGCCATGAGAGGAGAGGGGTGCCCCGAAAGGGGTGTCAGAACAGCTGGGCACCAGACTGGGGCGGATCTCTGGGTTCCTGAGAAGGGCCATGCTCCGGGACCTTTCCCCTGTCCCCCTTCTTCCTGTCCCATGCTCTGCTGGAGACCTTTGAGGCAGGAGTTGTTCTAGGGGCTTACTTGGGGAAGTAGTTCATGAAATCTAGTCAATACCTTTATTCAGAGAAAAATTTCTCGACCAGTTGCAAGGATATGAAACCGCTTACAGATTGAAGAAGTAAGGCAGATTTCTATAGTCCACGAAGGCTTCCTATGCCACAGCAGTGCTTAAAATTGGGCAGAGCATGGAGCAGGTGCTCCGGAAACATTTGTTAAAAGAAAGACTCAATGGATGAATGGATGAATCCCAACTTGACTCTTCTTTTGGATATACCCAATCATGTACATAGAATCGATATAATCAGTAACATAAAAACTCCTTGTCCCGAATTATCCCCCACCTCCTACAAAAAAATCAGCACTCAAGAGTTTTTGACCAATAAGGTGGAGGGGGGTGGATTTCCTTTCTTTAATCAGAATGATAATTATCTACTCTGGTATTTGAGACTAAGTGAGCTTTGTTTGATTTATTTATTCATTTTTATTGATTGACTTTAGAGAGAGAAACATTGATTTGTTGTTCCACTCGTGCATTCATGGGTTGATTTTTAAAAACATTTTATTTATTTATTTATTTTTAAAGAGAGGGGAAGGGAGGGGGAAAGAGATGGAGAGAAACATCAGTGTGTGGTTGCCTCTCGCACCCCCCTACTGGGGACCTGGCCCACAACCCTAGCGTGTGCCCTGACTGGGAATCAAGCTGGTAACCCTTTGGTTCGCAAGCCGGCACTCAATCCACTGAGCCACACCAGCCAGGGCTCATTGGTTGATTCTTGCTTGTATGTGCCCTGACTGGGGACCGAACCTGCGACCTTGGTGTATGGGGACAATGCTGTAACCAACTGAGCTACCGAGCCAGGGCTCTTTGGTGTTTCAATTCATGTGGCTTAGTGAAGCAGTAAATGGATGAACAGCTGTTGCCTCCTGCAAACAACTGTGTTTCCTGAAGCCCTGTATTGATGCCAGGGTCAGATCTGATGCCAGGAGCTGGCTTGGTGAAAACTGGAGTTCTTGAATCAAAGCGGAGTTAGAGCACAGTGGTTTGACACTCCGAGCCAGAGAGAGCTGGGTTCAAACCCTAGCCCCACCATGCCATAGCTAGGTACTTTGGGCATTTTTTTCCCCACCTCTCTTAGCCTCCATTTTCCTGTCTGTAAAATGGGAATAATAATAATCACGGAATGACCTATTTCACTGGGTTGTTGTGAAGATTAAAAGAGCGAATGTATCAAGTGTTGAGCAAAGTGCTTGGCACTCAATAAATGTTAGTTATGGCCCTTGTTGACATATCAGGATTATTAAGCATCCACTTAAGAAACAGAACAGGGACCTTGACCCAAACCCACTGGGAAAACGAGGGGACTCAGATTTCAGTGAGTTCAATATTCAATTACATCACAGTTATTCCCAGGAAAGCGCCCTCCACTCAACAGAACCCGCCAGCAGGAGAGTTCTCTCTCACATTCATCCTATTTCACCCTCGACACCTGAAAAGACGGGGTAGCCCCTTCCCCAGGGATCTCCTAATTATTCATTTGAAACCTCTCCCTCAAGGGTCTTTCTGTCGTGAGTAAAGAGGGAACAGCAGATGAATGTCCACAGCAGGGGAGAAAATACTAACCGTCCCATAATTATAGTCTCATCAATACTTTAAATGTAAAGGGTAAACCTCACTTAAATAAAATCTAATGCCCTGATTACTGGAGTCGCAGGAGACGGGGTTGATTAAACCCGCACTCCCGCTGTGAGAATTCAGTCATATTGTCCTTTGCTCAGGAGATAATCGTTTTATTGAAGGCAACGGAGCTCAGTACAAAACAAGCAAATCACTGGACTTGAGATTGCACTGAT